TGGTGCTGTCAGCCTGACAGCGTCTGGCTGGATGATGGATCAGGTCTGAACCGTGTGAGCAGCTCCACACTGAAAATATGATGTGATGGATGAAACCTGAGCGGGGGGGGGGGGGGGGGGGGGGGGGGGGTCGGTCGCTGAGGCCGTTTCACACCACGTCTGTTCAAAAAACATCAGTCATTTTCCAGCTTCTCGCTCACTGACCCCAGAACTGTGTCGACATGTTTCAGCGCAGCCTCGGCGCTAAATGTAAAAATAACAGCAGAAAATGTATTTATTCACGTCGCTGCTGTTTGTGTTATTTAAATGATGTTTGTCAGACTTGATCATGTTTAATTCATTTTTTCTTGACACTGAAAAATAAAACACACACATTCCCTCTGTTTATTTCACCTCGTGACATTTCGGACTTTTTTTTATGCGCAGTAACACACACATTTCACACACAGTTCACTTCACTCGCCGTCAGTGCGTTAGATTCGGATCAGCTGTGGGGGCGGGGTCGCCCGGTTCGTCTCCTGCAGATACGTCCACATGTGTTCACAAAGGTTCCGCCTCCACGAGGAGAAGAGGGATGGTGACGTGTGAGGGATGGAGGACGGACGTGGAAAAGCTCGTATTTAAATTAAATTTAGCCGCACGGTCGTGAAGCTGAAGACTGTTCTTACGTTCTGGTGCAGTCAGACACGGCAGAAGCTGATGGGTTTTCATTGATCTGCGATTAGTTTGTTTAAACCTTTTTTACATGAGCCATAAATCACTGGGCGAGCGAGGGAGATCAAGTATTCTCTCTCTCTCTCTCTTTAAGAATGAACAGACAGAAGAAACTAATTAGAACAAATGAGGAACAACTGCACACACACACAATAAGAACCGTCTTTGTCAGCCTTTACTGTGTGTGTGTGTGTGCGTGCGTGCGTGCGTGCGTGCGTGCGTGTGTGTGTGTGTGAGACTTTGTCTTTTTTTTACTTGTTTGTCGTACTCTTCTTCTTCAGCTGCTAGAAAACTGGGACAAAACTGAGAAACAGTTTCTGAGTGTGTGAGAGTCTGCAGCAGCTGTGATGTCTCCAGGCCAATACAAACTATCTATCTATCTATCTATCTATCTATCTATCTATCTATCTATCTATCTATCTATCTATCTATCTATCTATCTATCTATCTCAGCAGTGTTTTTGGAGCTGGATCAAACGAGTTGTATTTGTCTCTGCTTTCATTTCTTTTCTGAGTCGCCCCAGTTCTGCTGTGAGAGCGGTAGCACCTCTGTAGAAGGAGGGTTAGGTCTGACTGGTGCAGCGCTACCTGTGAGAGCCAGCTGGCAACCGAAGCTCTTCCCCATTATCTCGATAAACTCTGGACAAGGGACACGGTCTGAGTTGGCACACCGGCGAATAACTGAATGAAAATCCATTCGACTGGATTTTTCCTGGCCAACAACAGTAGCAACAGCAAATGGATCACAGAACAGAGAGGCAGGTGAATACCTGTTTAGTCCGACCAACAGTCCAGAACCCAAAAGATATTTAATTTACAATCAAACAAAACAGAACAAGAGGCTTGGATTTAAATGTCCCCACAACTATTGCACGGATTGTCACAAGATTTGCACCAGTGGTCTTCACTTTGGGTGGACTTTTAAATTCCTCCAAGACACTTCGTTAACAGAACCGTTCAGAAGTTTGCAGTCAAGCCGCTTGTTTTACCTTGAAGACCAGAGGAAAGAAGGTCTCAGGTCTTTGAGGAATGTTGTAACTCGGGGAATCAGAGGATTGTTTGGTGGTGTCAGGGTTGTGGTTTGATCCGTGGACTGAAGTCCAGTGTCCAAAGGGAAAAGTCAAAATCTCTAAGAAATAGAAGTCAAGAGTCTGTGTGCAAACATCTCCGGGAGCAGCAGCACTACTGAGTTTTGAGTTATTGTGTTCGATCCGATCCTCAGGGTCCGTCAGTCGCCTGACCAGATGGCTCATGGTGCTAGAGGACTGTCTGAAGGTTAATCTGATCCTCATGAGGCTCAGACAGAAGCTCCCAGTGTGAAGGGGACTCAGTTTGTTTATGACCGTAAGGCGCCACTGGTGCAGTGACGAATCTGGATCATCAAAACCAGACCTGCTGCAGAGGAGGGATGGGTTTATGTGGTAGAAAACTTTTTGTTGCAAGATGGAAGAGAGTTCTGAGATATATATATATATATATATATATATATATAGTGCCAGTCAAAAGTTTATAGGTAAGTATATATGTAAGTATAATGTCTCAGCACTGCTGCAGTCCAGTCCAACAACAGGGTTAATAAAAGTTTGTGTGTGTGCAGTATACACACTGTACTACCACCTAGCGAGAGCAGCGGCGCTAACCCACAGATGACTGACAGCTGTCAGAGCGCAGTGATGTCATCCGTGGCTCAGATGAGTCTGACAGAGTCTGACAGTCTCCGACTGACACGGGTCCATGTGGAGAAACTAAATCAAAGTGTAAACACCGAGCCGTAAAGTTCTGCCTGGAGCTTTTTGTAAAGAGAAAAAATGGATTGTGCACTTTGTTTTATTAAAAACTGTGAAATGTCACTTGTTTTTTTTTTTTGTTTTTTTTACTTTTATGGCCCTGAGCGCAAAGGTTTTCATGATTTATGATTCAAAGAGATAAAAAGACGAGTTCAGGGCAAAAGGAAAAGGTCACGGTGTCGTTAAAAACAAAAAGGTTTTGTCTGCTGCGACTGTGTTCAGTAAATTTCATGGAAACCCAGCCTGTAGTTTTAGAGATATCTGATGTTAGAGCTTCATTTCACCACTTCTTTCTGTTTATTTCCTTTCCCTCCTGCTCTTTTCTTCTCATCTCTTTTCTGATTTATACTCTGAAAACATCAAACCTGAGACAATAGAAACTTGACAAAGGAAAGAAAACCTTGACTGAGTCTAACTGGTTTTCTTCATCCTGGATCTCATTGAATATATTGATCCTGTTACACTTAGAGGGCCGCTGCAGCTGAAATGCCAAAGTTAATGACTTTGAATTTAAATGAGGACTGGAAGGAAACATTTCCTCTAACTCCAGGTTTTCTGTTATTGCCTGAAAGCTTATTTCCAACTCTTCACCTCCTCTCTTTCTCCTCCTCTTCAGTCACGTGTCTTCTCTGATAGGAAACCCATTTCCTGCTAATTTTATTTTTATTTTCACTTTTCACGTCCAACATCTCCGTTTCTGCATTAACCCTTTATCCACTTTCAGCTCTGTTTTTGGTCTCCACCACTTCCTGAGGGGAAATATCCGTCTCTTGAGCGGCTCTCGGACTGCATCAGTCCGCTGTTTGCTGCTCGGCGGGTCGTCGATTGCGGCTCCTTCAGGTCGTGATCGATGGAAACACTGAGACTGAACCAGACAGGAAATGTGCTGCCGAACCAAAACTAGGAGCTAAAAGAAGCTAAACAAGCTTGTTGGAGTTGCAGAGTCGGAGGCAGTTCTCTGTGGACGTGTCAGTGCGAGCAACATTTCATACAGGATTCATTTATGAATTGCTAAAATATAAATAAATAGATATAAAAAATTGTACCTAGAGTCTTCTTTAACCTTTAGCTTTTGATTGAGGCATTGATTGCACACCTTCTCAAAAATCAGTCAAAACAGTAATGAAACCTGTGCTTAACAGTCCCCCCAACCAACCCCCCCCCCCCCCCCATCAGAAGGAGCTGCACTGGGGCTGTTGCCTCGGGCGCTGGTGAGATGAGGAAATACAATCCAGAGAGACCAGTCAGACTAACAGATCCATACATTTCAGGGGCTTATCAGATGCCAGACAACCTGATAGGTCTTCATGACTGACTTCACTCTGCCAGAGAAATGCATGCTGGTTAAAAAGAGGCCATGTAGCAGCATGACATGACCTGATTAACTTCCAGACTGACATTTTCAGCTCAGTCGAACTGAAAATCTCTGCCTGTGATGGAACCTGGTCAACAGCTTGTTTAAAATACCCCTCACATATCTGACAGAGTGAGCGCTCTGCTGTGAGAGCGTTGTGCTTCTTGTTTGTTAAAAACCAGAGAGAGGAATTATTTCTTTTCTCCAGGCTCACAACAACTTTTACAACTTTATAAAATCATCACGGTAACAGTTATTTTATGAGTGTAGGGTTAATTCACACAGTGGGCCGACAAATCATTTGCAAAACAGTAAAAAGATATAAAGACATAAGATATAAATAATGTTTTAGAATTTATAATAACTCCTTTCATTGTGTTTTAAAGCTTTTCTCTGTGAAAAGCCAACGACAGGAACTTCTGTGTTGCCGCTGGCTGGACCGCATCATGTACTCGTTTGCTATCTCAGTTTGGTCTCACGCTACAGGATTACGACCACGGCAAAAACTGGACAATCAGAACAGGTGGCTGGTCTCCCACCAACACTCACTGCAGACAATGAACTCGTTGCACGAGGCTGTTTTCTTCTTCTAAGAACGATGTGCAGAACGTGCACATCACCACCCGTCTGCCAAACGATGACATTTCTCTGACATTTCGATGAATCCGCTTTTTCTCGACTCAGTGTCCAGTGAGGTAACGCCGCTCTTCCCTGATGTGTGACTTTTTGATTACCTCTCCCGCTCTCTGATGAATCTCTACTGAAGGTGTCCTCCTTCTTCACCTCCTCTCTCCTCCTCCTCTCTTATTCGGTTCCTCTGCTCAAAGGAATCCTTCTCTTTCTCCTTCTTTTCATCTTCCCTCGTCTCTCCGTCTGTCATACGGATATATGTAGAGTTATCTCTAAAAAACTTCATACATCCATGTTCTGGGGATAAAAGGATTCTTTGGCAGGTTGTTAAAATGACTCATGAGTTTAATTTTAACCCAAAATGGGCTCTGCAGTCATTCTGTCAGAGCCTCCGTCGCCTTTTATTTAAATGGTGGATTCTCGCTGGATGGAGCCGACTGGGAGTTTTATTAATGGATCTGGCGTGTGGTAAAAAATAAAAAAGTCATAATGTCTTGTTGTGTGTGGGTTTCCAGACTTGTTGGCGGTGCCCAAACATCCCTACGCCGCCATGGAGAACTGGGGGCTGAGCGTCTTCGTGGAGCAGAAGATCCTGCTGGACGCCGAGGTGTCGTCCTCGTCCTATCAGATGGAGCTCACCATGGTGGTCGTCCACGAGATCTGCCACCAGGTAGGGAGCTTTAACTTCCTGAACACTACAGAGCTTCATCTCCAACAGAGGCTGAAATGATGTTGTTACAGTCAAAAACCTTTTGTTTTTCTTATTTTTAAGGTTCATTGTTCACGTTTGACCAAACACAAGGTCCATTTACATTCACCATCCACTGTTCGACTTTTCATTTTCATTTTAGCGAAGAAGTTTTCCAAAAAAAACAGCAAAATATGTGAAATACAGTAAAATTTGTTTTGTTTCTATGAGCAAACGTGAAAGACTTTCTGAGTTCCTGTGGACAGACACAGAAAGTCACATTTAATCCTGATGGACAAAAGGTCAGGAGTTAGTAAGATAAGCGAAGTACTCAGCCTCTGGATCAGCCTGAATATCCACAATGCACTGCACCAAAGTCTTGGACTGACAAAAAAAAATAAAAACATCCACTAAGGGCAAAAACCATTTTTGTCAATATGTAATTTACTGCAGCGAGGCGTCTCTCAGTCCAAACAACAACAGGAGACGTGTTGTGGTGACGTTGTCTTCACCATCATCCCCGTGAGCTTCTCCTGCGTCGCTCAGTCAGGAGGTTTTTACTGGGACCCAGAATCATCCACAGAGGTTTCCTCCTCCCCACAACAAACAGACCCGTTGATTCAAGCTGGTAAAATCCCTGAATAAAAGCGTTTCACGGTGTTTCTCCGGCTCAGATCGGCAGACACAGGACGTCTCTGAGGCGCTGATGACATTTACTCAGCTTGTTTCTCTGCTGACTCCAGATCCAGACATCCCACGACTAAAATCCTTCATCTGGTTGAAACATGTAGTTAAAAAAGATCTAAAAAAGTGGCTTAAAAGTCGATTGCAAAGGGGATTTTAATGAATGACACAGGCTCAAAGGAGATATGACGTCGTTGGTAGGTCACAGCTCAACAACATGTAATAACAGTAACAGTCATTTCAATGCAGAAAGGTTGTACACGATACGTTTAAGACGTCATCCTGTGTTTGTTCAGATGATCCTCTTCACTCCATCTGTCTTCACTCGTTAGCTCGTTAGCTTGTTAGCTCGTTAGCTCGGCCATGGGGGGGGGGGCTGTGGGCTCATTTGTATGTGCAGAACGTTTCAGAAACGTCGGAGCAGATTTCCAGTTGAGCCACAGGCCGAGAACAAGTGATTCGTTTTAAAACAATTACAAGATGTTTTTGAACATTTCCAACATTTTCCTCTGAACTTCACACGTTGCAGCAGCTTGTGTCTCACTGTGTATTTCAATGCGGATCCAGAAGGCACTTTAAAGACTTTTACTATCAAAATAACTAATTCAGTGGATTCTGCAGCAACAGTGTTTGTTCCCCTCTCTGAGTTCTCTCTGGTAGTTTCTGTTCTGCACATCTTACTTGTGGATGCGAAGCTGTTCAGGTCTGAGCTCTCGAGTCTTGCACGTCGCTCCCCGTCACGAACATGCGTCGGAACAGCAGCGCGGCGCTTTAAATCATGTTTATGAGGAAGAAACGAGGCTTTAGAGAAAACAAACCACCGGCTGCGTTTGTTTTTTATGTTGTCTGGCGAAGACTAAAAAAAAAAAAACCTGATGCTGAACCTGCTGCTGTGAAACCACTGCTGGTCTTTCACATGAGGCCGCGTGTTACTTTGACTTTAAACAAGAAAAAAAAAAGTTAATGGTAAAATCCTGACATATGACCCAGGGTGGAGAAACAGAACAGAATTTTCCAATTGCAAATGATTCGGTTGTAAACAGACAGAACGTGACACAAGTCACAACAGCTTCAGCTGCAACACTAATGAGCTCTGTGTGTGTGTGTGTGTGTGTGTGTGTGTGTGTGTGTGTGTGTGTGTGTGTGTGTGCGTGCGTGTCACACAGTTCCTCGGGCAACAACAGCAGCAGAGGAGATGATCCTGTTTTTACAGTACGACATTTAATACGTGACAAGCAGACAAACACGGTGAAGCAGAAGAAAATTTAAAGGTTTCCGTCAGTACAGAGGGAGAGAGAGGCAGTGCGAGCGGGCGGGCGAGCGAGCTTAAACAATAAAGACAGATGAGAAGGAGAGAGAGAGAAGAGAGAAGAGAGAGGGCGTAGGAGACGGAGAGACAAAGAGGTGAAGAAACAAAGTGAAGGAGAGACAGAACGGAGACGACATGTGTTAAAGGAGAATAAGAGACACAAGGAGATGAACAAAGACAGAACGAGAGCAGAGCACTGTAAAAAACATTCACAAACCTGACGCCATCGTTTAAAACCTACAGCTCTGTTTGTGCTGGAGCTCGGCTCTTCTTCTGCAGTCATGTTGTGTACACGGCCGGTCAATGACCACGACACACTGAGCCGCTTCAAACCTCTGCTCCTTCAGCCGCATGTTCACAGGCAGTTCCTTGTTGTCCCAGTTAGCTCAGGTAACAACACTGTTAAACTTACCTGAAACCTGAGCGTCCAAAATACTATTTTAGCTTCTTTAGCTGTTAGCTTCTTTTATTTAACCTCCTCTGTCGGAGCATGAACCGCTCATAACAGACAGTCGATGGTACAGACGAGTCTGTTGAACCGACAGTTAGCGAACAGTTAGCACGCTTGTTAGCCTGGAGATCTTTTTTTCCCTCTTCAATTATCTTGAGAACAAGAGCTATGGTGATTGTTTATTTTATATTTTATATTTTATTTTATAGCCTGTTTTATTTTCTGAATATTTAGTTTCTATTTTCTATAATTAGTATTGATTGATTGGGATAAGAGAACTGTTACACCGTCAACAGGTGAATGGAGTTTTATTTCTTGTTTCCACAGTGTTGAAAAATGTTTAGAAAATAACGTCCCGCTCACTCTGGATAATTGAGGAACTACTTTCTATTTAAGACACATTTCCCCTGAAAACTGTTCGCAGTGAGGATGATAGATTATCAATAATTACGGGGGGTGTCTCCATTAATAAACCTGATGTAAGTAGAGGCAGATATCTTCAGCATGAAGCTAAATCTGTCTGTGTGGGTAGACGCCACTAGAGGTGAATGAGAATATGTCTTTTTTTGTAATTCGGGTGAAGTGGCCCTTTAAAAGCTCACCCCCGGCTGAAGTGGCTTCGTGCTACACGGGATCATTTTGATGATGAAAATGAAAGGCTGCAGTGTAAATATTGCAGTGCCTTTGGCTGACTGAAGAATGTGTCGTTTTCATTTAATTTCCTTCAGGATGTGGCCTCAGACCCACATTTCTCTCTGCTGAGTCTGGATGAATGTTACCTTCAGGCTACTGCTGGTGTGGAGCAAGAAACAGACTGAATAACAATGTTAAGCATTAGAGTGCGATGCTCTACAGTATATTAAGTCATAGATATTATTGCACATGTCATAAAAATGTGGTAATGGTGTTTTTTCGTCTGGTTTTGACTCTTGTTTTTGTCTTTTTGTGCATATTTCCTCATCGCCTTTGTTTAAATTAGAGAGAGAAGAAGAAAGAGAAATGATAAAGTAATGTTTTGTCTGCAGCTTTGCACTTCATTTCATCCTGAAGCCATTTATCTCACACACACACACACACACACACATTCACAAAGTTAGAGAGTAAGTTGTTTGAAGCTTTCAATAATCAGCGAGTTCAGTTGTAAGGAGTTTAACTGGAAAACAGACACAGACTTTTGTTCTGAATCCTGTTTGCAGAACTGGGTTAGCTTCACACGAGCTGCGTGTCTGTTTGTGTCGGCTTGTGTGTTCATCAACAATCTGTCGCACACTTTCAGAGGTTGAAGGAATTCTGATGAAATTTAATTATAATTAGTTATAAATTGCCAGTTGCCAAGACATTATGTTTACATGGACACAAGATCCACGTCCTTTAACGAGGCAACGAGCAAACTGAACGCAATTAAATGAAGTACTGTCACATTTGATGAACTGCTGATTATAAGAGTCGACAGCCACACTAGTACTTTGAGCTAGATGCTAATGTCAACATGCTATTATGCTAACAATGACAATGTTGACAGTTTGGCAGGTATAATATTTACCATGTTCATGATCTTAGCCGGGCATGTTAGCATACAAACTTTTACCAGTTAGCACAAAACTTCTTTCATCTTTTTATGACACTTAACGAAAAGTTAACAGATTAATCAAAGTGATTATGGTTCAACATGAAGGGAGCATGGATGACTGAACAGAACTTCGTAGCAATCATGTCCGATGACAGTAGCTGATGAGCCATTTCACTCATGGGTTCATCCTCTGGGGACAATGAAAGTCTACAACAAAATTTCACGGCGCTTTTTTAAAAAAATTTCAGTGGATAATTTAAAACATTGCCCTGCTGGTGGCGCTATAGGAAAAGCCTAAGAAGCATTCATTCATTCATTAGCATTCATCCCCTGGGGGACCATGAACGTCTAAACAAAAGTGGTCGTCCATAGAGAAACTAGCTTGGTTAAAAAAATATCAAAGGGCGCCATTTTTGTAAAGATTGTTAAAATAACGGAGGTTACGTCTGAGTTCACTGCCATCAAAATCATGACCAGGTGAAGTTAGGTGAAGACATGACGCTTCGGGGGATTGTAAATCGTTGTCCTCACATGCATGGGAATACAGATTTATGTGTGTATGTGCGTGTGTGTGTGTGTGTGTGTTCGAGAATATATTGTCACCATCTGTGAGATTAGCTTCCTCGGCTGCCGTCACGATTTTTATGTCGACATCCATCAGATGCAACAGGATGATGACGTGAATGAAATTTTAAACAAGAATATCAAACTCTTACTCTGAACTCGTCATTCTGGTTTTAACTTCTTAAACTGAATCTGACAGATTTCTGTTACTGTCTCACAGACGTGCAGATTGCTAGTCTGGAATCATTAGACTCATAATACATTGTAATTCCAACAGCAGACTGGCGATAGAAAATTAAAGTGATGTTGATGTCTTGTTGGATATATGCTGCTGTTGCTGACAGGTTCAGAGTGCGTATACTGTACACTGCTGCTGCTGCTGCTGCTGCTGCTGCTGGTGTTGT